TTCAAACTAATTTAATACGATCGTTTCAACATTGTAGAAAGATTGCGAAATACTAAACAAGACAATTTGAAAGAGGCATTATTCTATTTTAGCGATAGTTATATCAACAATAAAAAAAATCGGTGAAAATGTTTAAAGAATGCTATATGATAGATAAAAATTACATATCGTAGCGGCTGTTTCAGCGGGTCCAGCACTCGGCGCGTTCTATCTCACCATCTAATGCGGCTAATGTCGGTATTGAACAACTAAGCTATGACGTCTAAGCAAGCTTGACTAGCTTCTGGCAATTTTACCTATTTCCATACATAAGGTGCCGAAAGTACACAACGCGGAACAGCTGAAAAGCTTCTCAGCATGCAGCCACCAACGTTGCCAGGAGGCTGAGAGAAAACCTTCCCCTACCTCCGCGTAAAATCGGTAACAAGATTCGAAAAAGATACACTCCGAAGGATTATTTACGAACTTCAAAAAGGTAGGTTCGCTTCGTATAAGGTCTTCCAGAACAGCTGAAGTGTCACGGATTCGCTGTGTTGAAGATTTCGCTTTACCGCCGCTTCAAGGGCTGTAGATATATTAAGAAACCTTATTGAACGTTCGAATGAAATAAGCCTATCTTTATTGAGTAAACCCAGTCGAAAATGAGACCGTTGGTAACTGGAAAAGGGTTCGTTTCGTAAATGGATTTGAAATTGGAATGGAAAAACGCCCATCATAACTTCAGATACGTTTGTGAAAAATTTTCCGAAAATTGCGTCGTGCCGAAAACCAAATCATCAAGAATTACGTTGTAGCCTATGATATCTGCCAAAGGCATGAAAGATTGTCTATTTAACACGGGCAATACTAGAGCAGCAGAGATATGCTGAAGTTATCGAGAGCAAACTGCTAGTTGACATGCGGTAATTGTACCCTGACAGTGACGACGCTTTCATGCTTGATGCGGCATCTTATCGCCAAGCTTGGAGTATGTCTTAGCTACTCACTGTCAAATACGTTCGGCGTGGCCTGCTAATTCTGCAGACCTCTATCCTGTAGGCACTGCTTAGGAAAGTGTTAAATTACCAGTTTGAGAAGGAAAAGAAACAGCGAATATTCCTAATATACCTGAAAAGACCACTAATGTATGGTAACAGGATTCATTTTTGGCTGAGACAGCGAAAAAGTGTATCAGCCTATCCCAAATAATGGTAGGAATTACAGCTTCAAGAGGCAATACCATGAAGTACTGATGTTTGTAACTATGTCACATCGTTTGTCAGCAGCATGTATATTTTGCCAAGTTCTTTATCGAGCAGTAAATTAACAGGGTAAGTTAATAGTTGAACAGTTCTGCTTTCGTGCTGTGCAGTTGGTTGGTAACTTTGAACTTCCGATTGGGTTTACTTGAGCCTAATTGACTGAACACCGTCTGTGTACTACCAAACAATGTACACTATTCCAGTTACGTAGCAATGAGCTAACAAATTTGTGATTTTGGCACTTCGTTGTATATATATATTGGTTTCAGTCCTTTCGTCTGTGCCCGTTTATGGGGAAGGAACTCTAAAGTAAAAATGACTACCATCGGTCAAAACAGCCAAAGAATCAGCGCGACCTTTTTCAACTCGTTTGTCTGTTTCATGCATAAAATCGCTTGATCTTCTGACGAACAGACGCGCGGCACATACGTACGTTTTATTGCCGCTAGTAACGTAGCAGGCTAGTCCATCTAGGATTTTACTTCGAATCCATTTTTAGAATGTAAACAGACGCATAGGAGCTAAGAATATCTCAGTGTTGTTTCGTCGTGAAGTGGCCATCACAACGATAGCAGTATCGCCACCGCCGCTGCCATTGACATCATCAGTATTTATCATCTAGAAGACGAACACCTGGTTTCCTGCCAAGCAGCTAGCGTGGTCGTAACGGGTTCTTTACGCGTGTGCCTGGCCCACGATAGCCTCTGCACTGCCGACAGCAATCGGCTAACACTACTTATTATGATTGTTTGCAACTATTCTTACTGCTACTCCAAATCGCAATCGGCTGCGCCATTTTACGGAACACGTAGTATCCCTTCGTTGAAAATCCCGCGCATCCGCCAGTGGCTCTTGGCGCTGACTCCAAAGGTTTGCGTTTACCAAATGCCTGATTTAGGTGCACTAAACAGAGGGTATATTGTTTTGGTGTTGCACTGCCGTAAACTTCAACGTTGATGACTGTTGTTTTTTCATGCATTCCCTTTGTCATCTCATTGCATCGACTGAGTATTTTAGTTGGGTCTTTGGAGCTGTCAATAGAAAACAGATCAGAAAATTAGTTATAGCTACAAATAGGTTTTATCAGCGAAATTATTATTATCAGTGGATAAGCTTGTCACAGAAAAACTAACCGCGTCACTTGTAGCGCGGCCTATTGATGCCACTCTATAAACATCATGAATATAGCTAACGTCCAATGACGTAATAAACATCATCATGCAGCGTCACAACGCTTTTACAGGGACGAACAGAGCTGATCGCAAGATTAATCCTAGAAGTGGGTAAAATTAAGCCAGATTACACTCGAAAGTATTAATGGTATCAAAGGTATTATGCCGTAGCACAGGCTCAGTGGGAAAGCGTAAATTCAGCTGGTTAAGCAATGTGTCTGCGGATTTCGATCAGTGCGTGACCGTTAGCGTGACCGTTAGGCCCGTTTTTATTAAATAGGACGGTACAATCATGTTTTAGCGGCAGTAATCGCCGACCAAACCTTACCTGGCACTTGATTGATACTTCCTTACTAATCGAACTTAAAGCACCATTCGTATTATTTCAGATTTTAACTTATCCACTACGTTGTATTAAATAACGCTAATTTCCGAATGTATCATAAAGCATTTGCGGAAATAGTTGAGTTTCTCTACAAAACGGCTGAACTTACGGCCTTATTAATAGAAGAGAATTGATTTTGCACAAAGAGGTTAGCTGCTATATAGCAGCTACCGGAGCTGTGCAGAGACAAAATCTGATCTTATTTCGAACGTTAAGCAGATTGACGTCGCATACTAGGCTATAGCCTGTACGCAGGCAGGAAACCGTGTTACCGTAATACGAAGTTCGAGTCTATGTTACTGACCGTGTCCTTTTTTTGAGACCCTATGGAAAGTTAACATTGTTTGGAATTTTCATTCCATCTTTTTTGAGTGCTGTGTGATCTACGGACATTTAGGGCTCAGTTGTTTCCTACCTTGACCTCTAAGCTCATCAATACTGAACTAATTTTAACACAGTGGAAACGTCAATACGCCCATAGGATCATTATATTTAGCAGTCAAGTGCTGTAGAGGTTTTATCTATCTCTATCAATGGTTCCGTCTGTGACGCAGAAATAGATGAGGGTGCGCCCCACTATCATGGCGAGACACAAGCAAATGTCATTGCAACATAGAAATATTATGGGTCGATAATGCCCTTTGCACCGATTCTCCCAAACTGATAAAAGAAAAAAACACTAACTGGAGCCCCTGTGATGCCTTTGTTGCGTATCACCTGAACGTAGCAAATCTAATTTGATATGCATTATTCAACGACATGCTAATGTACCGGCCTTTGAACAGTGGGAAAAGACCCCGGACTAGTTGACTGTTACGCTTGCAGCTTCGCATCAAAAATATGACAAGGAGGGATCGAATTAGGACCCAATTTTATGTTCAGGCCACTCATGTGCTTTGTTTAGACGTTTTCATCGTATGTTATTTATGAAATATTTTGGTGAAGAAATATTTATGGCTCCACAATTATATGCCCTGTCACATTTGTACACGAATGATAATGTTTGCCTATCTACTAATAAGGCCACTGAAGTCTAGAAATAGTCCCTGCTAGGCTGTCTATTTTTTAGGCGACCCATATTTACCATTCGTATTGATATAGCTCACTGTATCGCTCGTCGGTTTTTGTTTTTCTGGACCAGGCAACAACTATTTAAGATATTGTCACTCAATCCAGTAGGACCTATGTAAATATTCTTAGTATAATGTTGATCAATTTCTATTTAGTTGAAGTTTAAGGAATTGGAGGCCCAATCAGCAGCTACGTTGGCAATAAAGAGACGAGGAAAATGCAGATCGTAGCTGACGATCTAGCTATTGTTGATAGTATTAATAATAATAACAACAACAACAACAACAACAACGGATACATTTTTCAGAAAAAACGTTCTGTTAAAATGTTAGCAAAAAAAAAAAACTGTCAAAATGTAGGCACCATTTCATCTCAGCGCTCCAAAACGCGATGGGACATTTCTCGATGGTGCCGAAACTCCGCTTAGTTAACTATCAGTTTTTGCACTGCTCTCTTTGATGACGTCCAAGTTAGAAAGGAACTTGTACTTGGCTGTGGCATTGTTTGAATTCTAGAACATCACTAAGAAACATGGCAGCCTAGTGAAAGATCTATGTGACACAATTAGCGACGACTTGGGTCGAGGTTTTGAATGACTCTTGAGTTATTCTAGAACCCAGTGGCTTGAAAGAAGAATAATAAATAGCGACATTTATAAATGGGCTCACCTACAAATGCAGCAGAGCGAAATGCTTGTTGGATATCGTACGTTGGGATTAATACGCGTCGGGGGTGTCAGAAGGGTTGCTTGATTATTCCAGACTATAACTATTCTAGACTGAAGATGCCCTCAAAATAACCAACAGGAAAGACGATACGTGAGGGAAGCTATTTAAGATTGCGCTTAAGGACTTTTGTTTTTAAGACAAAGCATATCGCTCGAACTATAATGGCAAAACATCAAACAAATAACGACTACACAGTCTAACAATTACGTTGGCAATTCAAATTAAATAATCACTTTGGGCGGACAAAACGATACGATCAATTGATATATTTACTGGAACGTAAATTAGAAATGAAAATATTTGTGAATAAATATAATTCTATAATTTATTTATACTTCAGTAACCAAAAATTATCTCGTAACCTCACATTAGTATAGCAAAAAAGATTAATTGAAAAAAAAAAAAGTATTATTAACATTTCTTTTCCAGTTTTTGTTAGAACGCTCTTAGAAAGATCACTAATTGTCGGTTCTGCCCCATACAAAGCAATCAGTGTAGTAGGTACACGATTCACCAGCTACGTTCAAGCAGAGTTTATCTGTGCCCATTGGAGTCATTGGGTCAGCGAAGTGGGTAGATATAAGCGCCCAGCTGGAATATTCTAGGAAGCAGTCTAGTCTAACATCTTCTACTACACAAATAAACGAAAAAACTTTTTATATTTATAATGATCAACATTAATATGCCAGTTAGCTGCGGAATCTGAGTAATTCTCTTCATACTAATATATCCAACGGTTACAATGTGATGTGTCGATTAACTAAATGGGGACGTACCGAAATGAAGCAACGAAACCTAAATGAACTTAGGTTAAAGACCTCGTACAATATAGATAGGGCAAGGGCCTCATGAAGGTTTAAGAGCTTTCATTTTACATCCATATATATATATATATGTTCGTGTGTGTGTGTGAGTGTAAATTGTAAGGTAGCTTTGATGCTAGCAACCGCAAAAAATGAAACAAGCTCAGAGAAATGTTCCATAGCTGCATAGTAATTTGGTTCTTTATTTAAAAATAGCCTAAATAGATACTTCGTAATATATTGCTCCAATTTTGAATTCGATTGCCAACAAACTATGGCTACCGAACGTTTATCCCTTTCCTGTCATTGTGTCATAACGGGTCCTTTTTACTTTCTTTTACACTAGTCTGCTCCGTCATTAATTCCCTATCAGTATAGCTGTTGACAACGAAAATCTTAGGTATAGACCACCACGAATCCGAGTAGATCCTCCTGGCCATAGACTCGGATTCCTAGTATATCACTATAAGCAGTCTAATTATGGCCAGTACTATAACAACTACCGCTATCACCGCTGTTTCTAATAAATGAAAAATCGATTGGGGTTATATCGAACGTAGTTCGTGGCGGAGGGAGGCTAAAACCATGGCGAGACGCAGTTGAAGGCAGATCTATCGCTTGTTTGCGTGCCCGCGTAGGTAGAAGCTCGCAGGCACACGGGTAGGCAGCGGGTGCCTGTCTAACGAGCAAAAGCGGCCATGGTACTCTGGGCGCGCGCGCGCACACCATAGCGTATTGATAGGCACGGGAACGGCTCGACTGAGAACAGGCCATGAAAAACGAAAGCCTGAAAGAGAGAGAAAGTTCTATATGTTTATAAATCACCACGATGTGCCATCTTGTGCTTGCCAGCAATGCGTGCAAAGATACAATACATTGACAGGTCAAAACGAACGAAAGAAAGAACAAAAGAGGTCTACAAAGCTCGGCCGTATCTAATCTAGCAGGCCAGCGCTGATATTATCTTTTGTACCGAAAAAAAGGTAATCTTCGGCCGATCATTTAGGCGAGCGTGTGTATGTACACGGAGGAGATAAATGTATATGAGGCTTAAAACCATCGTGAGTTCTATAGTTGTTCTACTGACTAATAGTGAGTTGTCGTTTTGCAGTCGCCCTTAAGTAGTGATATTCGGCTATTACTGCAAGTAGTGAAAGCGACAAAAAGAAAAGATTGTTAAGACGGCTCAACACGTGAAGACCTGAAAAGTTAGTGGGCATTGAGGTGTGTCACATGGCTTGAACTTTTCAAACAAGTGTTACACCATGGTGCCTTATGGCTACAGATCTATATATGTCACTAAATATTAGAACCTAACCTATAGCATTAATGATTTCACTGAATGTATGGTCAAATAGCTAAGAGTTGATTTTGTATAGGCAGTGGTAAGGGTAATTTGTTTGCGACGCGGCGTAGAACATTTCGATCAATCAAATATTACGGGTAATAAGCGTAATGCTTTTCATGTAGATTAAACGCTTAAAAAGAAACTACTGAGCCTCGCCTAGGGACAACACGAAGCACTTCACGATGGCAAATACGGCGCCCTTTCCGTTTCGCGACTGCGGTAACCTCCGTTGGCAAATTATTTTAGTATGCTAAATCAATACAAGCTACTACCAAAGTTACGACGTACTTGTTCCCCTAGGTGCTTTTCCATTTGATGTCGATGTGGGAATTAAATATGTCGGGGGTAGTCCAATTATATCTTGAACATTGAAAACACAAGAAGTTTCTGCTGAGTTTACGATTTGAGCTTCAGAGTACAATTGTATAAAGTTCATCTTATTATTATCGTTCAAAAACACTTTTATAAATAATCGTTCCTATAGGACATAATTAAAAAAGATAATTGCAAAGGAGCTAATGATACGTTGGCCGGTCTATATATATATATATATATATATATATACATATATATATATTCGGCGCAGAGTAAATATATGTTCTAGGAGCTGTTGTTCTCGGCGACCTAACTAATACACGAGTAGGCCAGTTTGCAAGTGACCTTTAGGTAGGACGTACAGCTTGCCTACACATTATAGATAATATAGATACGTACGGGACAAAAATAACCGCAGCTGAATAACTAAAGTAGAACTTTTGCCGACGATCGTGCACCGGTGAGATTCATATTAGAAAGAGCTACACATCAGCTTATCGAACAGATATACATACAAACCTACATAGCAGCTACGTATTTGTCTCGCATACTGCAAGCTTATTGCTGATATGCTCGGGTCGGTGCCGATTTGTATGAACACTCAACTTAACACAAGTTGAAAGCTGCGAACGCTAATTATTCAGCACGGTTCGTTTATTTAGCTCTACCTTCTATGAAGACAGATGAAGTAAAAAAGGAAAACTTGATTACTATTTCCTGTTATCCAGTACCTAGCTGTAAGGAGTGAGTCTCGTTTCTCGTCGCACTAAGTAAATAAACTGTTCAGGGCATGATAATTATGCGTAAATGTTTGTTGATATACGGAAAAACAGATTCCAATAAAAATAGCACGTGATTCTATTAGGGGAAGGGGAACGAGTTGTCTTTCAGGCCATTTCTCAGCAATCAGGTTTTAAATCGTTGGTGGAGCAAGTGTTTCGGTCGCCATCCGGATCCTTCGATAGACTTAAACGCAAAACTGTCTTTCGCCTTTATTATGCCTTTGATTCAATTCCATATCGCAACCTACACAACTTTTTTTTTGCCCTCAAAGCAGTACCGCATTCAGTACTTCATACAGCAATTTCTTTAAACAACATCACGGATTGCATTCCTCTAATCGATCGTTTGATTCCTTTATTTTTACTGTCATCACTCTCATTTTAACATCATCCTTTAAATGCAAAACTCTTCTTCCTCGTTCCGTTAACTAGATGTTTGGTCTATGGTTGGCCGTATGGTATGGTGTGTTCTAAATATATGCCATGTGTCAACAAATGTTGTATACTCATGTCAGTGTCGCCGCCACAGCGTCTATTCTTGACGCATCACTGAACGACGGCAATAGCCGTAACACCACGTACTGTTGCCATAGAGAATTTATCTCCCGTTTTTTTAGCCTAAGGGGCTGCGGTGTCTTACCCGAAGGGGTTACCATCAGCACCGTTAGAATAATCACCGCCATCCTCCATTGCCAACTGCTGTCGAATCGAGGGCTTTTGAGCACCAGTGTCTTTTCTATACTAGCACGATTATTGAGCAAAACGTAGCCATTCAGCTAGAGGCATGCACGCAGCGTTTGTTGTGTTGTAGAATATGTAATGGTTAGGCCAAGGAAGCGGTGAACTCGCACTGCCGGCCGATGTTCGTCGCAGCGAGGTCGCAAACATGGCCTACACATAGGCCAGAGGTGTGGCGGCAGGCGAGCGACCTACCAACGGATCGAGAAGTGAGGGGGATTCACAGACGGCAGCAGAGGTCAGTTGTCCTACAGTTACTACTACTACTAATGGGACTGCTAGTAGACGCAACCAGCCAATTAGCCAGACAGCTGAGCAACCTTCTTTGCAGATGGGCAAAAAGGTACCAGCAAGCTTGCTGGCTCGCACTTGATCTGACATGGGCCTGACAGACCGAATACCCCAGAAGCCCTGGTCCAGGGCATCGCATCGGCAGCGCTTGGAGTAGAAAAGGCGAAGATTAGAACCGTGCTGGTTAAGACTAACTTATACAACTTATCTTGGCCAACCAAGCCCGACAGAAGCAACATACTTTGCTGAAAAGATAGTATCTGTAGGCCTGCAGGAGAAGACGACGACGACGCCCAGCTGCAGAAAAAGCAAGCGTTGGCTTGCTTCTTTTAAAAAAACGCTTTTACAATATTTCGACCCGTAATATATCCGGTTGCTTGAAACGTTGTAGACGGCACGGTGGTGATGCGCCGATGGAAGGCTGTCAAGGTATATATACATATATAAATGAAGAAAGGCAGATCTCCTCGAAAGAACTATTATTATATACGAGCGGCGTACGTAAGAAAACGATGTGTTCGATGCAAACCACGATCGAGACCACTATTAGACCACCTGTACAACGAGCTATAACCAGCAAATTATTGTGGCATCCCTTGGCTGAATAATGTCAAACAACTGCGGTCGTTGGGTTGTAAAATACGATCCATTAAAAGAATCGCGTAACCCACAGGACAGAATAACGCTATTTCGAATGGAATCTTTAGGCAGCGTGCGGCCCTAAATGCGCATTTGCTGGCACTGGAGAGTTCCGTTATCACTAGAAGCCATTATACTTCATGTAATATACAAACATTCGAAATTGTTATTTAACCATAATTGTTAAAAGTGTGCATACTTTAACGTAAACGTAAGTTGGCATATCGACATCTCTATCATCGATCATACGTCGTATATAAGTTGCTGACGTGATCGATGCATCTCCAATGAATATATACTAATCATGATTCAGATCATCTATTGCTGCGTAGTTGAAGGTCACCGCTTTCGGAGACAGCTTCACAGCTCTGAGGCCAATATACGGTTATTGCTGAATCTAGCTTTCAATAAACAATGAGAATGTTTTCTCTGAGATTACCGAAATGCCCAACGTCATCCAACACGTCAACTGATCACGATGTTACGACTGAAAAATCTGCTATATCCGTTGTATCCTGCCGGTGTTAAAAATAGGACCCGGTTAAAATCTTCCACTCGCGAAATATCCATTCTCAAGAAACAACGGAACGTACATAGAGGAACATCTACCGAAAATTTTATTCTATAACCACAAACTTCGAATTCCCTGCGGCTCCTTTACCAAGTACGTAAAAAATAAGAGGTTCCAAAGTCTTATATGCTCTAATAGAAACAAGGCCAGCACACTTAAGGGCATGATTTCCTGAACGCTATAACCAAACGGACAACTCGGAAAATGTCCTGATGTTAAGACAATATCGCTTAACCAGTTACGATCATAGATTGGTCATAGAAGTACGTCACAGATAGATATTTTGTCAACGTGCCACGGAACAATAATTGCTAGCAAGTTTACTAACAAGCTATTTTCGATACTATGCAAGAAGGAGCTGATCATGACTGCTGTTTGATCCGAACAATCAATGGATTGCATCAACGACCTTCTGGTAAAGTCGGCAAACCATCTTGCTATAAGTGTTAATAGTGTGGTTACCTGAACTAAATCATTGGTGAGCAGGTCTCGTGTGCTGCGAACAAACAAAAACATGTACTGTCCCTTCGACGAGCCTTGAAGCCGCTGTCCTTCTGAAAATTGTGTCCAGTTTAGTTAGCCACGGACTATACCTGCTGTCCTGCAATAAGAAATGCCAAACAATATCTTAGCTTCGTACATCTGCTCTGATTCGAAACCATCACCACCGGCGTCCACTACAATTAGCACAATTGTGGACTTAGGATGAAGCCACTTAGCCATCGACAAACGCATCAGTGGGTGTGTTATGGAAGGAATCATTTGCGGGAACGTTGAATTTAGCTGTCACCTGTATGTTATACACCGAACGACAACATAGATATCTCTGTTCCTCACATAGTAGCCAAGTACGGGAGACCAAGTGAGCGTCGAACGACCACAACAGGGGCCCGTATGTCGACGGTGTACTCAGGTTATGTGACTTGTCTTCATCGTGCCATTACGCCCTATGCACCCTACAGCAGCAAACTGAAAGCAAACGACATAAAGCCATCAAAGGAGAAAACAGGAAATGAGAGTTGATGAGAATGGAAGTCTCTGTCTAAATAAAGGTTTCGAGTTTTACGTTTGGTAGTGGCATTGAGCATTACCTTAGATGGCTGGCCCCGGCCACCACGAAACGAGGCACATCTACATCTACGCTTGGTTTCAAACCTAAATTACCTCACGTATTCCTAAGTATAGTAGGGAAACACGTTACGACAGCGTTATCACGGGGGCGGAAGTGTCTGTCTGTGATCCTTGTCAGTGATGTTTATGGCGACCGCGGGTGTAAGCCGCAACGATAGCAGTTAAAAGGCAAGTCAGGCCACGGCAAACAACGCAATAGCGTGAAAGCGGCAATAGCAACAGGCGACAAAAGGGCAAGCTAAGAAGATTACCAAAATAACTATATAGAACAAATATAACTACATGTAAGAAACAGTGAACGCTTCTGCTGTTCAAAGACTACTAGCTAGGTCGAAAGCACAATCTTGTCGTTACAAGAACAGCCTTACAAGACGAAGCCATTGTTATCGTTGTTGTTAACTATAGATTTACGTTTATTCTACTGTATATAAATTAGTGGGTGGAGAGGTGCGTATAGCGCAAGCGTCGCATCATCGTCTAACGAAAATGTTATGCACAATTAACGATTTTATACCGACGCTGTGCACGTGAGCCTGTGTCTGGCCTTGAAACTTGAGCACGTAACTTCTACGGATGCATTTTTACCACTGGCGATTTTTCTGTCGTTACTTTAGAAATCTATGGATTTATTAAAAGCAATACATTTGAGAACACCTTTGTTCTAGTGTTCATCTGTTTAAAGGAACAAAAAAGGCCATATCGGTGTATTGTATGGCATTCCATCATACGATTGATTTAACGTCACAAAAAAAAATGATTCCAACGCAGCATTGAAATTCGTCTAATTGAATTGTTTTCCTTAGAAATCGAATTTTACCACTTACTATCACAGGTGAATGCTTACCTTTGAATCCATATAGAGTGAGACTTTTACGGCTGGTGTAGCCCTTTTTGTACATTAGTATATAAATTATATAAGAGGGCTATTTTGATAGGCGTCAAGATTCTTCTAAAAATCGATTGACATTGTTTTGAACTTACAAGACTGGTGAGAATCACTAGCTGACGATTCAAAATCCGTTATTTTCCTTGTGCACCTGGAGCAAACAGTGTGTTACCCAGACCCAGACCGACAGACCCAGATAAAAGAAAGGTGGATTTCGTGAGTCGCGCTCTAACTCTGCGAAAATATATGGAACTATCTGAACAAAACGTAAAGAATACTTTAGCATAGGTTTACGTCTTCTAAAGCTGGTTTCTGTTAATATTGTCATTTATCTATGCGTTTATGCTGATGATATGAAAGAAGAGTTTGCTCAGGGCACATGTGATTCTTTATACTTGGCTAAGATCTGTCAACTTTACTGCCTGAGTGTCTAAAAATGCATAGCGGTAAGCACTTACAGAGGCCTGATGTAGGCTCTGATTATCCAACGGGCAAAACATAATTTAGAGGTTAGAAGTACCATCTAGCAAGGCTACCATTTTAGACGGTTTCGTATGAATAGACGGTAGTGTACCAAAATATGTTCTGACAAAAACACTGCTAAATGAGTGCTTTCGATGGGGCTTTGTCGATGTACCTGCACGATGGCCTAAATTTTGCGTATAGCATAGAGCATAACTAAATCATATTAATATAAACAAGGTAAAAAGATTCAGCTAGATATAACTAAATGTGAACCCAACTATAGGTTTATTTGTTAATAATCAAATCTTGTTCCTTCACCCGGGTTCATTCATCTATAACCTTTCATAGTCCTTTTTGCTTCTAGTTTTGCTACATGTTGGTTTGCATAGAAATTTGCATGGAAAGGCTGTCGCTTCTCGACTTGAAAGACTGCTAGTGAAGTCCTGCCGATAAAGTAGAGTATGATCAACTAGATAGGGTTCAACAAATATAAGTAGACGTATAACGTAATAACAATACCTCAGGCTGTCTTTGAGGTTTTGACTAATGAGGGCTTCTGTATCCTGGTACAACCTGTGTATAATTTGAGAAGTTTATGCACTAATGAGCTGTCTAGATTCCCGATAGACGGTAGATTCGAGCAAAGTTTTCTTGAGTCACAAATTACAAACGGGCTGTTTGAAAAATTACGTAACCGCCAACGGGACGTCATCTGAAATGAAACGTACAGCATTCTAGGAAGAGAACTTTTAGGCCTTTTTGTTTTTTAATTTTATATATTTGAAAACAGAAGAGCGGTTTATGAACCCTGTAATAATAATAGCGCACAGTATCTGAAAAAATCCGACATTGGTCAGCTTGTCAACTTACTGATTCGGTTTACGCAAGCACGTTCCCTTCTGCCGCTAAACGACTTCATCATTTTCCGTATTGTGGGAACTATGACTGAATTTTATCAACGAATTATATATAGTACAGTGCTGCCAGTCCTTCAACTATAATCTGAGGTCATCGGTACTGCATCAGATTTTCCAATGACCGAAATCGAACGGACGGGGATAATAAACATGCGTGAACCTCTATCAGCAACTATATCGTATTCTGAAGTCACAATATATATTGTTACTTTTCAATGGGAATCGAAATGTCCGATTGAAGTGTGCTGCAAACACGCTATCAATTCATGAGAGAAACATTTCTGAGGATAATTTGAAAGGGTCGTTGTTGAGCGCTATTATTACGTTAGACGTAGCCATCTAATGACAAACTGTAAGAGGCCTGTCTCGGCCATTTTCTTAGCACTAACCATGATGCCATACATACGTCCTTACGGTATACGCATGCTGCATACTGTTGGAAGCGGCTGATTCTTTCAAAGAAGTAAGAGAGTCCAGAGTGAAGGAGGCAATGCTAGACAGACCCGTATGATGTGGAACGAATGAAGCTTCAGTCACCACTTGTATCAAGCCGTCCATGTTACAGATGCTGACGAGCACAAACAAAGAGCCATAGTAGATCGGGTGGACGAATTCAATTAAGAAAAAAGAAAAAAAAAAACGCTTTATGCGTCTAGCTATCAGACACAGTGCTGAATAACTGTGAGTTCAAATAATGTTGATAGATAAAGTGCTTCCAGACCTTACACGCGTGACGCGGGCATCGTTTGTGCTATGTCTATTAAAGCCTAAAATAATAAAAAGAATAGAAAAAAAAAAAAAAAAATACAGTCACTGTTGCGTATGTGCAATGGAATAAATAATCGAACGATAAATTTCAACGTCGAAAATCTTTTGAATTAAGGCTGTCTCAGGCATTTGAGATAAAGTAAGTGGCGTCCTCGCACCCTGTCGGCTAGGTTAATGTGGGTAACCTAACATTATTATTATTGAGATTATAATAACGTCGGCGCAATATTCTGTATTCGAATTTGTATTGTTTGGTTTTGTTTCGCCTCCAGATAAAATACTACGTGTTTTATAATACTGCATATTGGCGCAGCCCCAGCGACGTCTTAATGCGGCACAAGCTTTGTAAATACAAATCGTTGTAGTTATGTAAAACGTGGCACATTACCCTCTAGGCACTATTGAAAGCAGGCGTCCTTACCTGTACCCGTATACACAATAGCGGATCTAGGAGTGGCATAACTTCGAATTCTGTACACAATCAGTACTAGTATTAAGCACGCAACTACAAAATCCTATTGTTCATTATTATTTTTCCCTATTTTAGCCTCTCTATCTTATTTCTGAGAAGAATAATGATTCGTTCGATGTTTTCGTTCAAACGACTATATTATAATTACCACTATTACCGCGGCAAGCCGTCCCTCTGTTCTTCGAATTTTACGACATGGCACATTGCTATATTCTTTGCTTACCGCTCTTTCCTGTTGTATAGCTTTGCTAGTGAGACAGGCCAAGTAAGGCTGTATACTGTTCGAGTAGTAGAGCAGGACCTAACCTAGGTACGATGCCGTAAAGTCAATCAAGTCATGTGCACACATTTCGAACAAGGTCTCCCTTCCAGATAACCAGAAAAAGGTAAACGAGCAAAACAGCTATCCGATAAGGCGCACGGCAGGTTGAAGAAGAAGGTGGTTTGATGACTTGCGTTACACACCAAATTAAACGCAAAAAAGCATAAAATATTTTTTCTATTAATTAAAAAGGCTATAAAAGCTACCATATATGTACTTAATAATTTCGCTGAGGATCAGGAAAAAAATAGATTACAGCCGCGTAATCCCGCGCTTAGGACCAGTACGCTCTTTTAGCAACAGCATGGTAGAGCCTGTTAGTGACAACTTCTCGTTGCGTGGTACGCCTTTTTTCCTTTATTTTCTTTCGTCGCTCTTTTGAGTTTTCAGCACTCAACGAATTCAATCACAACTAAGGCTATATTAGAAACAGGGTGATAACGATGCGTTTTGTTTCTGCCGACGCTGCTGCTCCGCTATGAGCAACTATCTAGACTCGAAATTCTACAAATGAGGATACATAATTACCGGGCAAGGTAAGGCGGTGCCTACTTAAGACATACAGGCCGTCAAAAACAGACACGTGCTATGTATCACTCGCTCTACCCGTGACCTATGAGCATGTCTCTGTCTGCAAACACTGACGATCTATACGAGATAAGAAAGCAACGAAGCAGTATTATATACTAGCAAACAGAAGCAGCAGCAGCGGGAGCGGCAGAACACAGAATACCGGTCCATTCGTTTCTGCCAATGGATATTGCCCAAATGGGTGTGGATATTGCTTAAAATGGATGCGTTTTCTATGACTGTGCACGTGTGTAATTGTTTGTATTTGCCTGTGGAGTCATGTGTGCTTGCATGCCTCTGTCGCCACGTCTCTGCCTGCGCATTCTGTGTGTTTGTACTCGGTATATTGCCTGTAATATGTACTTACGTGCTAAGGGTCGCATTGCTTCAATAAATCGTTTTAACTTCAGCGTAGCTATGGCGACAGTAGCAACGGCGGTAGTAGGAGTCTAATGGTAAAATTAGAAAGGGGAACACAAGGGTGATTCCGCTTGAACATGTACAGGTACCTTGAGATCACACACGCACACAGCCGCACACTCGCACACAAAAAAAAAACACATATAATGTCGGTCATACAGAGATGACATACAATTGCTAAGCGCCCGGCAGGCAATTGATGATTTCTTCTGAGCTTGTCGCTAAGGGAAGAGACGGCAAGCGACGAAGCAAACAAACCTACGAAGCAAAGGAACGGCATAACTCTGCCCAACTCACTGGAATCGCTGTTGGGACTTTGTCACCAAGCAACAGCACCAGTACCGCTAGGTCTGACCTGGGCTGGGTCTACCGCCTAACCGGTTTCACCGATCGGGCCGGCCAGGCGAAAGCTGTTTTATGCTGTACCGGCACCCGCCCTGCACTACCTTTCTTGCGCTTTGGCCTCTGTAACAGCTTATCGCGCTACCTATCTTCGCTGGCGCTCCTATTAATCATCGTGATCACCTAGGTAGGCGACTGCAATAGGAGTTGGAAAGACTACCTCTAGTAAACTACATACTCTCTACATGTAAAGTCGATCGGGTCGAACCTGCTCTCGGGACGCCATAGTGGCCATAAGCACTAGAAGAAACTTCCTCTCAAGAAGAGTGACGACGGAAAAGTCACGGCGGTTCTAAAAGGAAATGTACTGCCATCGAAATATTCCGAATTAAAGTTTGAAGACAGGCACAGTAATACTAGGACCAAGGAAAGGAAGCATGCGTTATGTAGCATGAATAGCATGTAATGTTATTTATTGTCGCTGGTTATTATCTAGTACGTTGATGTTACGCGCGCGGCAATATTAGCATTTGTCTTGCTTGTATTGGTGGGTACATCTACACCGATACGGATCCGTGTTATGCTAAACTAGTGCCAACCTAGAACTATGGCTCTCAGCGCGTAAAGATCATAATATAAGATGTGAAATAGTTTTTTTGTTAGGGTGAAAATTAGGTGCACACGTACAAAGCAACTAAGTATATTTCTTTTAGAACAGTTTACTCAAAATAAAACAATGTCTTTAATCGTAACAAATCTAGTATCAAAAGTACCATCGCTGGTCCATGCTAAGCACGAACTGGGTGTGCTCGAATATACCACATACAGCTTTGTGTTGCAATATATATCTCATAGGTTTGTGCAATACGCCTAACCAGCCGAGTACGTCGACGAGCCCTGGACCGTACATATAATTAGGCTACAGCTATTTTGGTAAAACACTCGAATTCGTTGCCCCCTGACGTTTTACTTGTCAGTTATGACGTATCTCTATGCCCGCCTGCTTATCCTATCTATTATCTAGAATACAACTGCTTGTTATTCGTTTAGAGTGACTAGCGCACCGAATCAAAATGAAACATCGCAGCCCCCATCTTCAGAACCGTTCCACGCTGCGTGTATCGTTCAGTAAGCGTCTAGTTTGCTATTAGCAAGTACTATCATATCACCTGTATCAGTGATACTGCTAGCTCTCGTAGCGCGTTTACTATATCGTAGAAACGGCGTCGGTGAGCGCCCGCGAACTCTATCGCTCGTTGTACATCTGACCGCACCAAACGTCCGGTACCCTAGCATCGGCCATGCATATACATACCTATTTAGCCATATGCCTAGGTTACATAAAACTGAGTATAGTTTGATCATCTGATCGTATGTGACTTATACGGATCATTCTGTTCTGCAGATCAGCTATTTTCAGCGTACAACACAAGGCCGAGTGTTGATGAAACAACACTGAACTGAGTGAATCTGCTGCAGCTTTTACTGCAATAACCTGGCCGGCTTTACTCTCCTACGATTCAGCGCCGCAACGGCTGTGACAGTGGCTCACTCAGCAGCGGCGCGGTTGGTGGCGGCCCTGGTAATTTCGGTGCGATTGGTGTTTAGACATAAGCGATAACCAGCGAATGTAGAAGTCATATGGAAAGCTCTACCGAAACAAGCAAAAGGAAGAGTATAATACCATGTCTGGCTGGTGCTGGTGCTGGTGCTGCTATTGTCTACTAAAAGGGCGCAGCTTTAGCTTTCCATTCGACTCATGCGCTGCCGTCACAATAGTAGATGACAGCGGCAGTAATAACAGACCCAATAGTGCCACCGGTGGTTATACTGTGTGCGTCGATCACTATTACAACGATAGCTATAGTACTGCGTCACCGTACAGATATATTAAGCAGAATGCTCAGCGGCGAGCAGGCTGGCCTGGCAAACTAAAAGCACCGACTCGTGAGAAGACTCGTGTTTTCTATCCTGTACGAGCAAATGCTAGCCTTCCTCCATGGCCGTCTGCGTTTTTTCCGTGTTTTTTGACGGGTCCGAGTGCGTTCGCGCTCTGGTGGCTGCGGCGTCGTCGGCGGCCGCTGCCACGACGGCGACGACGACAACCACCTCGATCGATATTCAGTGGACGCAATACTACGCGTCGTTTTTTCGACGCTAAGCTACGTTACGCTGCGTTGCCGACCTGGAGAAACCTCTAGGAAAAATCTAGTCTGCTATAGTCAGAGAGGCCAGTGAGGGATCGCTACTACGACGAATTGTTGCTATCGTGCTCGCCACTAAGGTCACGCTAATGTTCTGCTTTAATTTTGCCTTCCCACTTTTCCCCACGGGTGGAGTGGGCAGTAAGTTTCCATCATCAGCCGCTCGTACCGCCAATACAGCTGCCGACCGGGTGGCCGCTGAACGAACGCAACCAACTGCTATCCGTCTGTGAGTAGTACGTGTGTCTATGACCGCGTATGACGACAATAACGGTCCGAGTACCATCGACAGAGGTGCACGCTACGAACTGTCTGAACGAACCTCGTCTAGACCGCTAATGGCCACCGGCACTTCGTCGGTTTCCCCCAATTGAGCCCTGCACAATCAGTGTGGGCGAACCATCGATGCAGTCATTCGTGACTTTTGCTTTCTTTGCAGTCTCGTTCATAGGTTCTAACGTCGAACGGTGCGCAACACCGCGAATTGTAGGCAATGCAGTACAGGACCATAAGCTGATAGTCGCGCTTGGCAGACGCTGCTAATGTTACTAAATATCCTGCTTGTTGAAATGGATAAGACGGAGAGAGATACGTTACTTAGAAAAAGAACAACATGAAAAGCAGGACCAATATAAGATTTCGTCTACACTTACCTAGCGGTGTGAGCAGTTTCGCATAGATGGGACAAATCAGCGGTAACCATAACAAGGAAAGATTTTCCTTCCAGTTTCACGGAAGAAAACGCACACCTTTTTTGACGCGTCTAATAATATCACGACGCATATAGGCACGGTAGGGATTGGGGATTCACAGCACATTTCGGACGTTCAGTGTTATGGAATCTGCTACATAGAGAACTGAGGCGTATAACTTGCAGAAGGAGCATGTACACGATTGGCTAAAAGGATTTGTTTTTAGGTCGTACGGCTCCTGAAGGGGCACATAAAAGATTCCATTTGCTATTTAAGATTGATTATTTTTGCGGCATTTTGTAAAATTCTCGACTAACAAGGATAAATTGACTAGTATAATACTAATGGTGTCCAAGAGCACCATTAACAGATCTGTACACGAAATGATCTAGCATCTTGAAGCCAAGTTGTCGTTGCAGAATGTTTAGTTCCAAACATAAAGTTCCATTACCCATAACAAGCTAGTTTATGGGAACTTCTATCAGAGTGTACGTACGTACGAGGTGGGTGAAACTGAACCATTCGCAGATATAGCTTCCTTGAAAATCTATTCGATACTCGTTTCAACCATCAGGGAAGATATAGGCTAACACAACGATTATAATGTATACAAGGGAACATTTCTTACCTAACAGAACAAAGATTCCCAGCCATACAAGCAATGAATACGTTGAACCTTCATTGTAATTTGCTATTTGCATTGTGAGAACAATCGAACACCTCAAACTGCTCAAAATAGTAACGTGCCATCACGGTATTTAACTATTATTTTCTTGGTGGCAGGCGAAAAATAGGTTAGCTACCTAAAATGGTTCAGTTTTTAGGTTCAAAAACACCCCCAGCCCTTTTGGCAGAATTGGAATTTCTCACTGGACAGTCTTGAATCTTCTTTCTCTTTGGAGGGCTAAAAAAAAAAAGTCTAACCTAAACGTTACACAACCCCAGGTTACCGGGTCGAAATGTCTGGTCGTATATAAGCACTATTGGCCAGAACAGATATAACGAAAAAACACAGGGGGTGGTAGCGGAAAAGTTCACAACAACGCTATTAAGCGTTTTTCATCTTTACCTCATTAATTGAACAGCAGTAAGGTAAAATAGATTATCCTAAAGCAATACAGAAAACTACAACTTCTTTTAATAACCTTTCTTATATATCTATTAGTCGGGCTTTGTGTGCGTGTCTCGCTCATGATCAGCGACTGCGTTCTCCGGGACGGTTAGCGGCGCAGGAGGTAATCACTGACAGGCCATCTGTAATTCGGTAAAATCGGATAAGTATATAGATTTAAGTTAGTGCCGCTAAATACTACCGTTTACCGCAGTGTTCAGACCCGTTTCGTCATCACTCGTTACAAAATCACAGAAATCCGTCGGTTTCTGCAAATCTGCTAGTCTACCGCACGGCTCCTGCTAGCTTGCTCGCTCGCTCGCTCGCTCTGCGAAAGACAACGTTCGTAAGATGTCAATGTCTTCGTCATTTTTTAAACTTTTATTTTTTTTCTATTCCCTACAGGTTCGCTTTTTCTCTCGCTAGCTCTCGTTGCATGTGAATATGCAATATTTAACTCTGTTACAGAAGTACAAATGGACGATTACTAATGCAAAACACTACGCTAAAAAACTGCTTTCTGGGGTCCTTCATGTCTGACTACTATTGTTAGCACATATATAACTATAATGAATTCAAAACGACCAGAGCGCAAAATATATATATATATATATATATATATACACATGTTGATCGTCTTCTTCTCGTTGTTGTTTTTATAGAAAAATTTCCAATACTGCAGTAAGTTTCGAAGCAAGAGAATTTGTAGCCAACAATTAACATAAGCCCCATTGCTACCAGCATCACTCGCATAACGGTAGCAAGATGCCCCAGCGG